TTTGCTTAAATAAACAAAGAAATAACGTTTCCCAGTGTTTATTTCAGCTGGATTGTTTCCACTCTGTGTATTGAACTGGGTTGGTAACACTGTGACATTTGTGGTCTGGAATGAAGATGCATCTGCAGCTGCATTTTTGTGGCTTCAGAGGCCTGGAGTCTTCAGTATTTCACCTGAAAACATGGATTCTGCTCCCTAAATCCACAGCTTCCTTTATCTTTAGTCAGGCATTGGAAGCAGTCAGTCACCTCCTTCAGTGTGTTAGGGACAAATCCAAGGGGAGCTCTTGCAGGAGAGACAGTCTTGGCACAGGTCACTATTTTTAGCTGCTGTCTCTCAGTTTAGACACTGAATAAAACATCTTGCTTTTTTTTCCTGGGAGTTACTGAAAATCACACGGAAGTGACAGCAACTAATGGTTGGTTAAACCTCAAAGATGACTTTGATGTGATAAAGATTTTTTCAGTCTCGTCTTCCGTGGGACGTGGCTGAAGCTCTCTTGCTTTCACGAGAGGAAAACAGAAAGCAGCACATCAGAGCTCAGGTCAGGTAGGGCTGAAACTCCTCCTCCTCCTAATTTTCCCGGCTTTCCCTGCCCGCCCTGTGGGTTGTTCCTGCCCGAAGGTGTTTCCTGAGGTGGCAGAGCTGCCCTGCCCCAGCAGTGGGGATTGTCGGGCTCAGCCCAGCTCAGGTCACAGTGGCCGTGCCAGCAGAGCCCCGTGGCAGGTCAAATCCTCCCGTTCCACACTGGAGAACAGCCAGGAAAGCTCCTGCTCCCTGTGTCTGCAGCTCCTTCTCTCCGTCCCAGTGTCCTGCTGAGTTTCTGCTCCAGCAGCTCCCTCTGAACTCCCCCGGTTGCCTGTTCCTGCTAAAAGATCCTTGTCATTAACACTTGACAGGGGCTGAACGCTGCTCCCCGGAGTCCTTCCCTGCTGTGCCTTTGGCTTTCAGGATTTGTTTTGTCACAGTGTCACCGCAGGCACAAACACTGGGGATGTTTCCCTGATTATCAAGCACAAATATAAATATTAGTGAACCAAATTGATCGCAGGTGGAAAGATAAGTGGGGGCTGGGGGTGCTCCTGGGAGGTCAAAGCCATCGGTTTTCTTTGAAGCACGTGGTTAAAACACACTTTGTAATTAAAAGGCTGAATGTGATTTTAGATAAGGCAATTGAAATGGCTCTTCTGAGATTTAAAATTCTGTGGGTTTTTCCTGTAAATTTGGAGGTTTGGTTTTTTATGATTTTTGGTTGGGTTTTTTGTTGGTTTTTTTTGAGGGGAATAAGAAAAACCAGTAACTAGACTCAAATTGCAGCCCTCAGTGGGAGTGGGAGGGAATCCTGCTGGGCTGTGGCCCCTGGTGGGAGCAGGTGAGGGATCAGTGCTGGAACCTCCTGGGTTCCTGTAACCTCAGGAAACAGGGAGTGAAGCAATTCCCTTCCCGTGAAACACCCTCTGATGCTCTGGTAAATATTTGCCTGTGCTCTGGCAAACTCGTTTTTAGAAGGATTATACTGAGAAACTCTTTGAGCCTGCTGTGTGACTTCCCTAATTCGAGCACCTAATTGAGGGCACGAAATGCTGGCATTTATTTCTTTATCCATTTCACTTGCTTACTGATGCATCCCCTCTGCTTTTGGGAGAGGCAGCAGAACAATGCTCTGGCAGTGGTGTGGAGGGAGAGGCTGGAACAGCCCCGGGCACTTGTCAGGAGAGAAAGGAGCTCAGAGGCAGAAACTGTCACTGCTGTTATGTCACCTCCCAGGTACAAGCAAACAGCAAGAGCCCAGCAATGTGTCAGGAATTCAGAAAAAGGGTGTTTTGGTCAAAAAAGCTCAGTGTTGCCTGTGCTGGGTTTAAAGGGAAGGGGATGTTGAGGTTATTCAGCTCGTTCACTGCTACTGGTGTAAAACAAAGGTGCAAAGTAACCTGTGGAAGGGCCAAGCTTGGGTTTAGTTTGCTTTAGCACTGCCCTTTATCGTGCTGAGGGAGGGTATTATTATTATTATTATTATTATTATCCATGGAATGACTCAAAGAGCATTGGCTCCATGAGCACGAAATCAGAGGTCACCTTTCTCTGGAGCTCATTTGAGGAGCTGCTCAGATGTGGACGAGTGTGAAGATCCTCCGTGTTCCAGGGGAGTTCCTCCCAGGTCATTGTTCCTCTGCTTTTCCAAGAAGCCTGCCTGAGTTGCCCTGGCAGCTGGCAATAAGGAAGCTGGCAGCTGTTTCCTGCTGAAAGGCAGGAGATGGGAGCTGGCACTCGGGACATTGTTCCCGGGATAACGGCCACACCCGGCTCCTCTGGCCCTGGAAAAGGGGAGTTGGTGTTTCTGGGGAGCCTCTGGAGAGGGCTGGGCTGTCCCTGCTCGAGGGGCCCGGCCAGGGAAGGGCTCTGTGCTTCACCCACGGGATTTAAGGCACAATCCACTGGGTTTTGTGCAAATTCTTGGAGCTCCACTGAGGTGTTACACGAGGCTGTGACCACACATCAATCTGCTGTAGGGTGTCACCTCTTCCCTTCCTTGGGGACCAGCTGATCTGTGGCACTTCCCAGGTCCAAAGCCTTTCCACTGGACGGTGTCAGCTCTGACTGGCCCCACCTGTAAGAAATTCCCAAGAGATCCCACGCAATTCCCAAAGCTTGTTCTATCCACATGAAGTGACCTCATGGTACCTCTGTTCTTCCACTCTCAGGAAATAATCTGGCAGTTCTCTTGCAGAAGCTGCTGCTAAAAAACACCAATACCTTGTTCAAGGCTCACACTGAAATGCAGAAATGGAATTTTGAGGGACTGTGGCTTTCCTGACACTGCCCTTTCCACCCGGTCACTGAAACAGCAGGTTTGTGTGCTCAGCATTTTTCTGTGTCCAAAAGAAACTGGACCTGCAGAGATTTACACATTTAGATTTACAACATAACACAAAACGCTGCCATTTTCACAAAACCTCTCTGTCCTGGTTAGGAACCACCCTGCTCTCAGTGTCTCTTGCTGCAGCTGTTCCCTCGAGAGTTGGAATATTCAGGATATTTTCACAACAACAGATTCCATTGCTCAGATTCCTGGGTTTGTAGGTCTGAGCTCCTGTGACATCCAGTCCCGTGGATCCCTGGGTGCTGTGTCAGGGCCCAGGTTGGGAGCAGCAAGGAAGACACTTTCAGGATGGCTGGAGCTGGTGTTTAGTGGAGTTCAAACTCATGGATGCCAAAGAAATGTCCAGAGCAGTGTTTCTGCTGGATGTGTGCTGATCCAGCTGATGGGTTTAGTGCTGTTGCCTCCCTTAATTTCTACCCAAACCTGATTTAGTCACTGGTGCCTGTGCAAAGCCACCCTGTGGCAAATCCACTGAGCAGCAACTGAGACCTTGGGGCTGCCCAGGAGGAGCAGGTGCTGCTGAGAGGAGTCAAATAATCCACATCCTTTGGCAACAGATTCCAGCTGTGACAGATCCTTCCAATTAGTGAATAAGGAAAGGGGTTAAGTGTTGTTTGGAAGAGCCTGAGAGCTCTTGGCTAAGCCTGTCCCTGATGTCTCCTCCCCTGGTCCTTCCTGGAGCTCTCTGCCCTCAGTACAGTGATTTTTTGACAAGTCCAGGCCTGTTGACTGAAGTTTTGTCCAGCTGGAGGACCCCACGTGTTCATGTTTCCTTTCTAAGGTGGCTGAAGAAGGAGCTCTCATTTCCCAGCACACACCAGGTTTGGATCTGTTTTTATGTAAGAATACTCTGGGTCTGGGGAGAGAAGCCTGATTAAATCTTTTTTGGGGGAAAATAAGGTGAAACCCTGAGTTTAGTGGCTGCTAGGGAGGGAATGGAAGTTTTCTTCTTGGGAGAAACATTTAATTGGATATTGGCTGCCAAATTTATGCCTTTAACTTCAAATAACGACAAAAATCAGATTGCTGACTCCCAGGTAGTGCTACAGGCTGAGGCTGCAGCTCCAGCCAAGCCCAGCCAGGATTTGATCCCACCTCCAGTGGGATGGGGCTGTTTTCCATTTGGCTCCCCTGCCACGCTGCTCTCGATGATCTCTCACAGATTGGAGGCTGCTGGGCAGGAGTTCAACTCAAATCATGCCATGACCACAATGACACCATTCCCAGGCAGCTCAAGTGTTATTTTTTGAGCCTTAAATAAACACGTGGAACCAAACGTGGGCCACGCTCAGTTTGGCAGGACACACCCATTTAATGCAAACACACCACGAGCAGTGAAATCAAAGCCCCAGCAACATTTATTCTGCCTTTTTTTGGTTTAACCAGTGGCTTCTTTTAGTTAGCTTCTCTACTTACTACTCTTACATTTAAAATAGGAATTTTGGCCTAGAGAGCACCCTCATTTTGGTTATTTTTCTATTTTACTGTGTAACTGTGCGTATTTTAATTTTTTTTTTTAAGACTAAGAGAAGGTTTCTACACCTAATTCACCCAGATAAGTACAGAGTGTGTCACAGTTTAGAACCTCTCAGGCTCTAATTAAGGTTTAGATTTCTTCCACGATCTTTATCGTGGGACATATTTATTTTAAAAACTTTCCATTTCCTGAGGAGCAGGAGCAGCTTCACTCATCTCCTCCCTGAGGCCGTTTTCAGCCTGTCCAGGGTGCTCCCCTGGGGCTGGCAGGAGGATTTGCTTGGAGAGCCCCGGGAAGGTGTTTCTGGAGCGGGTTGTGCCGAGGGAAAGGGTTAAGGGACAGGTTGTGCTGATTCACGGCCGCGTGTGACTCACGTCCCCTCCCGCGGAGGGGAAGTGCCCGTCTGGAGGGACAATGTGGGCTCCGAAGGGACCATTGTGAGCTGCGGCTCCGCTGAAAGAGCCGGAAAAGCTCCCCGGTTAAAATTCGGGATCAGCAGCTCCGCAGCCGGGCCGGTTCAAAGCCGGGGGTCCGGAGCGTGGGCAGAGCTGGGGTGGGAAGCAGAGGCTGGAGCAGGAAGCTGGAATTTGCTGCCTTGGTGAAGCTGGGTCCGGGCTGCCCTTGGAAGCAGTGGAGGAAAGGCAGCAGCTCAGTTCCTTTTGGAAGCTTTTTTTGTGCTAAATCGGATCCATGAATCACTTCCCTGATGACTCCTGTGCAGGTTTTAAAGTGGTGTCCGGCAAAACTCACATTTCTTCAGCTGAGAGTGTTTCTTTTTGGATGTTTAGTCTCTCACTTCATAATATTTATCCAGACTAAATTTCTTAGCAAATGCAGAAGGAAGTGAATAGTTCATCCTTTTGTACCTTAATTTTCCCCAGTAGTGTATCAGCTGGTAATTTGAATATAACTTCCTGCTTTCATGTTGATAAATTCCTGGTTGGTGTGGGAACCATAGATTTTTTTTTTCCCCTTATATATTTATCCCCAGTTCTATCCTTCCTGTACTGATAGTGAGTCTGACCTTAAAAGCACCAATATCTGCTTATATCCAAACAAATTGTATCTATAAATACATTAACTACTGTCACTTGCCACTTATTGTGTTTAAAGTATTTTAGGTTATTGAAGGTTTTTTGTTTCTGGGTTGGAATTTTTTTGGTGGGTTTGATTTGTTTGGGTTTTTTTGGGGTTGTTTTTTTTTTTTTTTCTGTAGTTGGAGTCCTTGAACCAACTTCCAAGTGAGCTGCACCTGTCCCTCCCACAACAATAGTGAGGTTTGGTGCATTGTTCCAGGTTTATGGACATCCTGTGGGGACTTTGCCTAAAACCAGCAAGGTCAAGGCCACTGATTCTGTTGTTCCTGTCACTGAGCCACTGGCTTGTGCTGACCTTTGATCCACCTCATTAACTTTAATTGCTAATCAAATAAAGGCCCTCTTCCAAGCTCTGGCTACCCCCAGGATTAATTTTATCAATAAAATAGAAAAGTACTGCTCCACCTTCTAATACAAGTGTAAATTATGACTCTTTGATACCAGCTATTCACTTCCTGCCACTCTGACCCTCTGCACATCCTGGGGAAAAAAAAAACCAGAGGAATCCTGTCATAGATCAAAAACTGAAGGCTGGGTTTGGGAAAGGGTGTGAGAATTTCAGGATTGAGGTCATCAGTGAAAAACAGGCACAGGAAGAAGCCTGGAGATGCCTCAAACAGCTCCTGTCAGGCTCTGGCAGAGCAGTGGAGGGGATTATAACAGATAATACAACATCTACACTTTTGTTTTCAACTCTTTTTTTTAAATACTTTTGAGGAACCTGTGTTGTCAAACTTTGGCTGATGGTTGTGATCCTCTATTGCTGCTTTTAAAAATGTTTTCACATGGAATTAGGAGAGTTTTCCCTGAATCCTGACTGTGAACAAGTCCTTACAGAGGAACCCTTGCTAAGCAGCAATGACCCTGCTGGCCTGGCTGTGTCTGTGAGCTGCAGAACCTTTCCCTCTCTGTTTTCCTTTGTTAAATAAGGAAATCTTCATTTTTGCTCTGGGGTTGTGCATCTCAGCTGTGTGTTGTGTTTCCTGACGTGGCATCAATTCTGCCATCAAACTTAAACAAAAAAACCCTTCCAGTAACCTGCTGCATTACCTGGAAATCCCATGAGCCATAACTGATAAATATGGGGCTGTGTCACCCACTGAGCACCTGCTGCCTTTGCTTCGTGCTCAGAATTATCAATACATGGAGATAACAGGTTATTTCTGCAATAAAGTGGGTTATGGTGCTGCTGGATCAATAACCCTTTGCTCTCTTCCTCGTTTCTCAGAGGACTTATCTGTCTTTTAGCTTTTTAAACACCTCATTTACCTGTTCTGTGGGACAGGAGGAAGCATTGCTGGCACTTGGCCCTTGTTCCAGACGTGCAGTTCCCCATTCCTGCTCAGCCTGGGATCTGTTGGGAACACCAGGGACAGGGATTGTCTGTGTGGCTGAACATCCTGGGCCTTCTGCAGGAGGGAGCAGCTCACCATGGTCTCCTTTCCTCACCCTTTGTTCCTTGCAGTGCCTGTGCTGTTTGTCTCAACTTGTGCAGCCTTTCCTCCAGCTTCTTCTGTGGAAAATACCCAAATTAGACACTTTGAAAGGGACAAAAACACCCCCCAAAAATCCCTTTGGACCAGAGCAGTGCCCAGCTCTGAGCTGCCATCTTTCAGTTAAAAGTTTCAAGGCTTGGCAAGAAATGGCACTAAAAACCTAAAGGGACGCTCTAAAATGTGAAATTTGTCAAGGGAAAAGTCCCTGAGACTGATTTGTTTTTAAAGTCTTTTATTTTTTAGCCTGTGGGATTATTTCTATAGGAAGATCAGTGTGACATAGGGGGAGGAATGGCAAGAATTCCCCAAATTCTCCCTGCCATTAAGTGAAAAGCTGGCAGAGGCAGGAGGAAGGTTGGTGTTACAATATAATCCTTAATTCTGGACTCTTTTATTTTATATTTGTATATTCTTATATTTATTTTATATTTATATATTCTCATATTTATTTTATATAAATTTAAATATAATATATATATTATATTTACATATATATTATAGATATATAAATATTATATATTTATTTTATTCACTGTGTGTGCCTTCCCAAGGGATTCAATCCCTTCCTCTTTCCAGGCTGGTGCAGCTGCAGCTTCCAGGGCTCCACCTTGTGGTCGTGGTAAAACTTGTGTAAAAAAACCCCAGACAATTCCTTAAATTGCCTTTTGAAATTTAAAAATTTATTAAATTTATAAAATTTATAAATCTATAATTTATATAATAATATATAATTTATATAATTTATAATTTGCTGTGTCCTATTCTATTTGAAATCCAGCAGCCATCCTCCTCCCAAATATGTTTAAATAAATAACAAATTAATTAATTTCTAACATAGAGGAAGAAGAGCAGTTGTTTTGCTTAAACACACATGTGTGTATAACAGAGCCAAGGCTGTGCTATAGGGATTCATTTTTCCCAAGTTTTAGGCACAGGGAAATGGTGAGAAAAGGATTTAATTAACTATAACCTCTAATATAACTCGAGGATGACAGGGAAATGAAGAAATCTTTGTATTTCTCTTAAAAGATGGTTCAAAACTTTTGCTGTTTGGTCAAAGTTAAGGTCCTTAAAATGGAATTTAATCTGACTTTGCTTTAAAGGCCCAGGTGCCACAGTGTTGTGTCTTGAATCTCAAATGGAGCTTGGATTAATAATCCTGGCACTGCTGTTTTATCAGCATTGAAGCATTCTTTGGGCAAAGTGTTATAATGAAAATTCATGACTGCATATATTAAAGTGCCAAAAATTATGTTCAGAGATGTAGCTACAGTACATAGCAAATGTATTGAAAAATAGGTATTTATTAGATATATTAAATAAGAATAATACCTGTCCATATGAATATATTCAGCTCAGAGTCAGTTCTTGCTGTTCTAACACACACACACAAACTGCTTTCAAGACTGAAAACCAGCTCCAGCCCAGACATTTCCATACTTCAGGAAGTTGATGGGAGGTTTTCCAGTGCTGGGTTCTTTCAGGAAAAGCTCTATTTCTGATCATTTAAAAGAAATAAAATCAAAGGGTGGTGTAACTGGAGATAACTTGTTCCAGGGTTGTGAAGCTGTCCAGGAAATCTTCCTCTTCAATTCCAAATTTGGTGTATTGGTGAATATAAGCTCTGTGTGGGGAAGGATGGGTAAGACATTGGAAATCAGGGGGGAATCTGGCACATATTGGATATTTACTGTGAAAACCCCAAATCAGGATTGGTTTCCCCCCAATAACTGTGCTGGTGAGTTTTTACTGTGCTCCCTCGAACTCATTTTGTAATTCCTACTGATCAGTAAGTCCTGACTTGTTTCCAATAGTTTTTATATCTGTGTATTGGTTGAGGGAACAGAATTGCAGCTAAAAAAATTGGGCTAAGTGGGAAATGGAAGGGGAAGTGATTAATACACACCAATCCCCTCAGTGCTGCTAACTGAGCCAGGAAGTTTTTTCCAGGCCTTTGCAGCGTGTGTCTGTCCACAAGCTGGAAACTAAACCATCAGCAAAAAGAGCTTCTGTGTGTTATTTTTAGGATGGTCAAATTGGAATGCACTAAATCTGGGGAGTTTTGGGACTGAGAAAATACACTGAGAGCACTGAAATCTGTGGTCTCACTTATTTACAATGATTTCTCTCCCACTGAAGATACTGGCAGTTATTAGTGAAGTCTCAGCAGGACTCTTTTCACTTACTTGGAAGCAAACATATTCCAAGCTTTTCCCACAAGGCTGTCGAGAGGTTTCAGCAGGAACTGGCTGTTGCTGACCAGAGAGGCAGACTTTTCATACTTGTTAAATGCTCTTGGTGTTCTCCAGGCATTAAAAGCATCCTGAGGCTTTAGCCATGATGTGTACAGGGAGGGATCTTGGAAACTTCCTGGAGCAGAGATAAGACAGCCCTTTTGGTAAATGGAAAGCTGCAAACCTCTGCATCTTGATCCCAGTGGTCCTGTGTGAGCTAATCAAAGCTTGGCAGATCAGTTCAGGCCTTGGGAAAACTCTGCAGAGATCAGCCTGGAGAAAACAGAACTTTGAAACAGATCCCTTGGATTATCTAGAAGCCCTCTCTTGTGTCAGTACTGCATCTGCCAGCCATGCTCATCACTCCAGAAACAGCTAAATGTGTTTTCAGACAATAAAGCCAAGAATTCCATCAGATACACAGACTTCAGGCTCTTCCTCCTGCCCTGAAGTGCTTCAGGAAGCTGCTGTAAAGACAACAGCCCAAAGCAGTTGGACAACATGGCTTTGGACACTAAAAACTGTTTCTAGAGTGAATATTGACCTTTAGTAACCAAACATGTGGACTTGGGGTGTTTTTCTCTGGTGTAAAGAAACCAGAGAGATGTGAAACAAGAACTCCTGAGGTTTGGGGCTTTTCCTCCTTACCCAAGTCCACGCTGTGTACATCTTTTCCTCTCAGGATAACCAGGTTGGCAATGGAAGTGTTGAAGTGCAGTGGCTTCTTTGTGGAATGGCTGGAGGAGCCTGGAGGAGGTGGTCGGACTTGCCAGTCAATACCTGTGAGATTTTGGTAAAAAAAGACAGAAAAGATAGTTAATGTTGTGTGAAATGTGGATTTGGAATAGCTGAAGAGGCAGATGGGAACTATCACTGTGCCCCACACTGGAGTTTGTAGCTGCTGCACGTTAATTAAGCAGCAATCACACAATTCCCAGGGAAAAGCAGTGCTAACCCAGCAGTATTTTCCTGGTAGTCACTTGTCTAGCAGAGAAAATGATCCCTGTTTCTATACTTAGCAATTGCCAGCCCATTCCCTGCATAACTGGAAGCTATAACTGAATTCCCCACGTAAATGATAGGGGAGAGCTGAGCAGCGTTTTCATGAGTAGAAGGTGTAAAAAGAAAACACAGAAATCCCAACCCAAATGAAGGATGTAAATTAAGTGCACAGCCACAAACTGTTGGTTTGTGTGTTTTCAGTGGCTGTAATTAACTGAGGTGGCTGGAAGCAAAGGCAGGAGCAAGCTGAGGGAATGGTTTGAGGAGCAGCTGGAGGCAAATTCCTGCTGAGGGCTCTGAACTGCCTGAAGGGAGCTGCACTAAACAATCAGCTTTATCCCACCTGGAGAAATGAGTGAGGAGAGGGGAGGGAATGCTCTGTACCTTCCTCCATCTGGGCATTAGCAATGAGCATCTGCCTCAGATGTTTGATGAGCCCAGGCCAGCTGAAGGTGCTGTAGGGGAGGGAGTTCTCAGGAATCTGAGGAATGTTCCGGAGACCCAACATCTTGAACTCGGGATGTGGGACCAGTGTCTCCATCAAATCTCCTGGAAGAAGAAATCAACAGCTGCTCACAAAAAACACTGCCCAGGGTGGCTAAAACAGGAGGAGAGAGGGAGGAATGTTACAAAGGTTTAGCAATTTCAGACAGAGCAATGCAAATTTGCTGTGTGTTCCTGAGTTAATAGCTCTGATTTTACAATTTAGACTTGTCTCACTTCTCAGAATCTCCAGGACTCTGTGCACTGCTAAAGAGATCAATAGACAGATGTGAAAGTTTAATTTTGGGTAACTTTCTCTAATTCCTTGAGGGTATAACCACCAGCCCATTGCTCCCAAGTTGTCTGCTCACCTGTTTTCTGCCTGAGCAAAACACAAAACTTTGTTTGTTTTGGTTCAGTCAAATTTCTGACCCCAAGTGAAATGTGAAGCTCAGCCCAAAAGCTGCACAAGTTTGGAAATACGTACAAGGGTGTCTGTAACCACTTGGAAAAGCAGAAACAGGGTTCTTCTGGTGAAGAATGAAAGCAGAAGTTGGGGGGTTTATTTTTGACTCTGCTACAACGTTGGGATTGGATTGAACTTTCTGAATTTGTCTTTTCCTCCACTTTGCCTGCCTGAAAACTTGGGATGTACCCAAATACTTGAGTGAGGAGACTGAAGAACTTCAATTCACCCCTGACCTGACTAGAGAGAGGGGTGTGAGTGACATGGTTTGGTACCCAGTGGGTTCCTGCTGTAGTTTGAGCCCCCCTCTGCTGGGTGAGCGGGCTGGAAAACGCTGCCCAGCTGATGTGCAATGACTTGGTTCACATCCCTGAAGGAGATCTGTTTGATGTTCATCAGCTGGGCACAGATCCTGTGGATGACATCGTTCTCGTGGACCAGGAGGGCATCTGAGGACCGGTACAGATGTGACAGAGTCAAAACAGAGTTGTAGTTTTGAACAATGACCTGGGAACAAACAAACAAACAAAAAACCCCACACAAGTGAGAGTCAAACTTAATCCCTTTCTAATTTATAATCCTCTGGCTGCTGCTGTTTCCTCAGCTGAGCTTTAGGAAGTGATTCATTTTCTTTGCCAAAGTGCAGAATGAGGTCAGGAGCTCAGAGCTTTTCCAGGGAAAGAGGGCAAGACCCGTGAAAATCAGGTTATCCATCTCTCTCCATAGAAACATGGAACAAAATCTACCTGGGAACTGATTGTATTGCTGAGATAAGATCCCAACAGGAGATTTCTAGTTCTTGTGGAACTGCCCCACTTCAGCACTTGAATTATCAAGAGTTTGTTTGGTGAAATATGAGGCAAACAATCCTTTAGCTGTGTTATTTAGTCATTTGAACTTTGCAAAAAAGTAAAATATACTTATTTTCCTTCTTATTTCTGTTGTAGGTATTTTATTTAAAAGTAAGCAGTGATCATAAACTTAAAAATTCTCTATAAACTATAATGATATATAAAAAGGCAATGTGACATTCACCTCACCAGTGCCATAGGGCCAGATAACGTGGTTTAGGATAAATGAGGTTGGAAAAGCATCTCTCAAGCACTGGGTCACAAATGCTCCCAGGCCTGACCCTGTGCCCCCAGCCATGCTCATGATGGTGAAAAATCCTCCCAGTCTGTCACATCTCTCTGCTTCTTTCTGCACCAGATCCATGATTGATTCCTTGTGTCTGGGCCCATGGACAGAGTAACTGGGGAGTAACAGAAAAGCAGGAAGGTGAAGCTATTCATTAAGCAGATTTTATTATTATTATTATTTCTATAAGCTTGCACTGTCATCCATTCTATCTGCACCAAACAATCCTTAGCTGTCATGTTCATTTTGCAAAACAGCTGTTTATAAACTGGCCTTATTGTTTCCTATTCTTAACTATATTCCCTCCATTCTAAAATGTCATGTTTTCACTGCAAAGGAGGGAGGCCCTGGCACAGGTGGCCCAGAGAAGCTGTGGCTGCCCCATCCCTGGAAGTGTCCAAGGCCAGGTTGGAAGGGGCTTGGAGCAACCTGGGATAGGGGAAGGTGTTGGGGTTGGAACTGGATGAGCTTCAAAGTCCCTTCCAACCCAAACCATTCTGGGATTCTATGATTCAAACACCAATTTCATCTTGCAAAAATCAGTTCAAAAATTACACTGCTATCTATATATTTCTACTTTTACTTAAAAATAAATCCTGTTCCATACTAAGCTGCACTCCTAGAGAGTGTAAACAGCTCCTTAGCCTCCACAGTTCCCTCGGGAAGCCTGGAGCAGCTCTCCATACCCGTTGGCCCAGTTGTTCCCAGAGCCTTGCTTCTGGCAGAAGTGGGACTGGTGGTTGTATTTCCAGCAGCCAGACCTGGCAGCCATGGATAAGGTTTGGCTGATGACTTTGGGCTCCATGTCAACCAGCACAGCCCGGGCCACAGGCACTGCAGAGGAAGAAAAACAGAATTACCAATAATGTGCCGACATGTTTACACAAAATGGATGGATTTGGATGGATAACATGTCCCAGGTTGTATTCCTCCCACCCACATTATCCAAGCCATTAATGGAACAGCACAGAAAAGATTTGGCCATGCCCATGTATTGTGCCAAAGGCAAATGTGAACTCTAGAGTTCTCCTTCAGGAAAGAAACCACTTAGTGTGTTTGATAAAGTCAAATTTGGATACTGTGGGTCCTACTCTGTGGTGTGATTCACCTACAGCAGAAAATGCAGATGTTTGGAAGGAAAGATTATGTTTTGTTTCCAGCTGTGCTACTGGGAAACTGGCTTTGTCTTCTTAAAACCTTCTGATTCTGCTTCCATGTCTGCAGCAGTGTTGTGAGGGCAGAGGGTTAAACAGTCCTTCAAGACTGAAGGTAAAACTCATTCCTCAACCGAAAGTAAAAGACCTGTTTTATTTCTGTGTCCTGAAAACAGACCCTGTGTGAGGGGAAAAAAAAGCCCTTTTAAAGCTGTACCTCCAGATTCCTCCTCCCAGAAAAACCTCTCCTTGCAGGCATCCTGGTAGGATTGGTTTTCCTTCTTGGAGCAGAGCCCGTGAGCGCCGCGGATGTCGCTGCACAGGCAGCAAAACACCTCGTGCCCAATCTGGTTCCCACACTGCCCAAGCTGGACTGTGACTATTGACATCCTTCTTCAAGCCTGAAAAAGAAATGATGCCTTTAGTAATTGTGGAAAAGACGGGGGAAAAGAGTTCTGGCAGGTTTCTGGTCCGTTTTGCCATTTTTTGAGGATGGTTAAACCACAACCACTGGCTATTTCTGGGGAAAAGCTGCCTGACAGCACCTTCTCCTGAGTGCCAGAAGAGCAAGGGTGGCAGTTTAAAGGGAAGCAAGAGCTGTTTACTGCTGCTTTGCATCTAGAGAGAGCTGGAACCAGCCACACAGAAAGGGAATTGTTTGTTTTCTTCCTTTTGCTCAGTAGGGCAGGATAGAAAATATGACTATAACTCAAAGTTATCGGACTAGGATGTAAAAGCACAATAAGAAAGCACCACATGCCCTTAGAAATGTTGAGCCTGTTCAAAATTGTAGCTGATTTCCAGTCCTGTTCTGCTCCAGGCCTGATGCCAGAGCCTGCTGAGGTGACAAAAGGATTCCCTGGAGCATTCCCCTTGCTTCCAGCACACAGAGCAAAGCTTTTGCCTGGGTACCGGCGTGATTTGACATTTTTCCCCACTCAGCATTTTACAGCAGCTCTGCTTTCTCACTTTTCTATTCACAGAAACAAGGTCAATTTTTTTTTTAAGCTCCGGGCTGCAGTTCCTCGTCGCCACCCCAGCTGTGCCGCAGCATTCCCGTACCAGCATTCCCTGGATGGCTGCCGGTGCCTGTGCCGCCTTCTGTGGGCAGGTTTGTGCTAATTTGGATCGCGGTGCGTGATTCCAGCGTCGCTGCCAGCCCGGGGGTTGCTGCGAGACCGAGAATAAACAAACATGTGAATTCTCCTCAGGAAAGGCTCGTGTCCGACCTGTGCCACACCGACCGTCCCACCCGGGGTCCGTGCCCGCAGACCCCCCTCAGGGGCCGCCCCTCAGGGCTCCCCCCTCAGAACCGCCGCCATGTTCGCCCCGAGCCCGGCCCGGCCCGTCGGACCCTCTGCCGGCATCCCGATCCTCTTCCCGATCCCACCCCGGTCCCGATCCCCATCCCATCCCGGTCCCGATCGTCCTGATCCCATTCCACTCCATATCCCGATCCCATCCCTGTCCCGACCCTGATGCCGGTCCCGACCTTGATGCCGGTCCCGATCCTGATCCCATCCCAATGCCGAGCCCTCTCCCGTTCCCACTCCCGATCCCATCCCGCTCCCTCTCCCCTCAGCGCTCCTTTCTCCCCCTCCCCACCCTGTGTGCGGACGCTCCTTCGAACGGCCCGCCCGGCGCATGCGTAGCGCTCTCTCCTGGCAGGCTGGCGCCGCGCCGCGCCCCTCCGGCTTCCTCGCACACAGCGCGCACGCTCCGCCCGGCGCGGCTTCCCCTCGCCCTCTTGCGCATGCGCCGCGCCAGGACTTTGAGGGCGGGCGGGCGCGCGGGGCGC